TTTGATAATCTGAGCTGGAATGCGGTGTTGGGTAAATAGATGTAAGTTGGGTGTAAGGAGATCAAAGTTTGGGCGAGTTATTTTAGAGATCGGAAAGTTGGTGTGGTAGGAGGGGCAAATGAGGTGGAAAGGAAGGTGCGTAGAGGATATCCATAAGGATCTATCTGTGACCGGCGGTTTGGAACATGATGATGGATGGGTTGTTGGAAGGGATTGGAAGAAGAGGGATAGCGTGGAGGCGGATAATAAAAAGGAGATTGAGGATGTGGGAATGGAAATGATGGAAATGATGGTTGCTTGGGGGAATGGAGTGGGTGTTGAGATCTCCTGGGAGAAAACGGTTATGATGCTGCTGAAGGGATCGTTGTCTAAGTCGAGACCCTCGAAGGTGAGGGTTTAAGAAAAGCTTGTGAAGTATGTAAAAGAGGTGAAGTATCTAGTCTATGAGAATTGGGATAGATGTAGATTAGGATGGAAGAGGGAGAGAATCTGGCGAAAAAGGATGTGTTGGATGCGAAATTGTGAGAGATCTGGCAGAGAAGATGGAATATGAGCGAAAAGGATAGAGTGACTCATGATTTTGTTCGGAGTGTGAGGTTTGCGAGTGAGAATATTTGGTTTGAGCCAGAAATGTTTGTTGACGGGGCATGGCAGAATGAATGGGTTTTTGAATAAAAGAGGACTGAGTGATACGCAACTGTGTGGTTGCGGTAGGGTAGAGAATGTTTGGCATATTGTTTTCGAGTGTGGATTATATGATGAGTTTTGAATGGTCCGGATGGATTGAAGAAGAGGAAAGACGGTTTGAGAGGTTGTTAGAATCAAAGGAGATGTATGAGAGATTAATGAAAGTTGCGAAAAGGGTGTTTAAAAAAAGGAGAAGGATGAGAGAGGGTGTGACGGAGTGAGGTCTGGGGCTGCGGGTAAAATAAATGGAATGTGTGTTGGCATTTCGTAGTTTTCTTACCATCTGGGAGACTTAATTGTAATTTTTCTTACAGGCCTAGTGTTTACTCCACTATGTTTCTACTGTCTGCTTCAAATTTTCAGTACTTACTAAAACTTAAACGTGGTTATAGAAGCGTTAAAAGATATATAACTGTGCAAAGCATTGCAAAATGAAACCAAATTAACAAAGTGAAACCAAGACAATACAAGTATTTGATTTATGACCGACGTTTTACAGTTCTAAAATTAAAATACTTTATTATATTCGACGATAAAGAATATACCGTCACTCGTGACTACAACTTTTACTCGTAGATAAAGATTCTCTTTATCGTCTTGTATAATAAATTATGTTTTACCTACTTTTTAGTATTACACAAGTGTAGCGATAAATTTAGGACGTCATGCATAATTTGCCATTGTAGTGGACAGTCAAACAAAAGATTACAAAGTGGCTATTGGTCACAACAAACAAAGATGTCCATTGTAACTCTTATACTTTTTATAGGTACAGCCAACTGTGCTAATATCTTGGGGGTGTTCATGTACCCTTCCATCAGTCACCAAATGGTCTACCACAACATCATGCAAGAACTATCCTTACGGGGTCACCACGTCACCGTTGTAACACCTGACCCCGTGAACAACTCCGCTTTTACAAACCTCACAGAAATCGACATTCACTGTGCGTATGACCTTTTGGAAGAGAAAAGTGTCCAAAAATTGTTTTTCAAAGACTTGACTTTCTATGACATAACGCGAAATTTTTTTCAACTTTTGGAAATTATCGCAGACAGAGAATTAAACAGTCCTTCATTTAAAAAATTGCTTGGGGATCATAATAGGACGTTCGATTTGATTCTTGTCGAACTAATGCATCCAGTTATGTACGCATTATCTGGAAAATTTAAGGCACCAGTGATTGGAATCATGTCGATGAACATCTTCAACACCCAGTATGATGCTGTTGGTAATGTGAATCATCCAGTTTTGTACCCTGATTTTGTCATAAACCTTCCGGCTGGAAACATGACGATGTGGGAAAAGGTTCAAAGTTTGGCGTTTTTTGTGTGGAATATTTACTACTACCAGAATGTGGTTCTGCCGACGGCTGATAAGCTGGCAAAGAAGTATTTCGGGGATGTAGCTTACATTTCTGAGTATGAGAACAGTGTCAGCATGTTTTTGCTTAACAGACATCACCAAGTACAAAGTTTGAGACCTAACGTACCTGCAGTTGTTGAAATTTTACCTTTGGAGTACCACTCACCTAAACCTTTACCAAACGTACCCAAATAACACTTTTCGCTTCAAATAAAGAAAGTACTGTTTCAGGATTTGCAAAAAATTTTAGATGACGCTAAAACCGGTGTGGTTTATTTTAGTTTAGGAACCAACGTGAGAATGTCCCGTTTGGAACCACAAACCCGAGACAATATTTTACAAGCTCTGGCCGAACTTCCTTATCAAGTTTTACTCAAATGTGATGTTGATTTACCTAAACTACCCAACAATGTGGTTATTAGAAACTGGTTTCCGCAGAAAGACCTTCTAGGTGTGTTTCGTTCTTAAGGTTTTGTTTCTTCATTGTTATTTTTTAGCGCATAGTAATGTTAAGGTTTTTGTGACACATGGAGGGTTGCATTCGCTTGAAGAAGCCGTGTCTAGGGAAGTACCCATTGTTGGAATACCGTTTTATGCTGATCAACCCGAAAATGTTCGCAAGTTTGTGGCTTTAGGTATAGGTGAACAAATCAATCCGACTTCTATTACTGCAGGAAAGCTAAAAAAAGTTATTCTTCAAGTAGCTGGATCTATGATGTGGGTGTCTGATGTTTACAGGTAGACGAATTAAAGTTGAGTCTTACAGGTATAAAGACAACATCAGGAAAATAAGTGGGGTCGTTTCCGATAAACCACGAAGTGGATTAGAAGATGTGATTTGGTGGTCCGAGTACGTGATTAAACATGGGGGTGCCAAGCACTTGAAAACTTCATCCGTTCATGTGTCTTGGGTTACGTATTTTTTCTTAGATGTTATAGGGATAACGATTGCTATAGTAGCAGTTTTGGTTTTTTTAATTCATTGTCTGATTATTGTATTGTTAAACTTTGTAAAATGAAAGAGTTTTAAAACTTACTATAACATTAGTTTGTTTTTTGTATGTTTTTTCTTAATAAATTTTGTACAGATGTAACAAGCTTGGCCACTGCCAGCTGTATTAATCCTGCCTGTTCATAAGTGTAGTTATAAATCAAATTTTTATTTTTGAATGTTCACTTTTTTCTCAAAAACTCATAATTACATTAGTTTTACGGATTTTTTTTAGTACGACATACCATACAACACTCCGTCATGCCCGTCTACATCCTTTGATGATCCATTCCCAACTGAAAAACCAGTAAATATTTGCTTTATAATAAATTAATGAATTTAATTACTTTCTTAATTTGTAGAATCATTACTTAATTCATCACTCAGTAGTTTCTCTTGTTGTTCCTGAACCTTTATCAGAGCAAAACCAAAATTTACCTTGGCTTATTGGTGATTATCTATCTGTAAGCAGTAATAAATGTATTCAAGCCGACATTCTTACATTTGAGAAAATAAAAAAATTAAGGAGCGAAATTAAAACACCAAAAACTAAAATAGCGCTACTCACTGCTCAAAATCAACAAAAAAATAAAGCTCTACAAGAAATGCAATTCAAAAAAAAATAAACCTAGAGGGTCAGAAACAAGTTTACGATTGTGTACTGCATGGAGAATTTCTTCACCAAAGTTAAAATTATAAAACTAGTAAGATGTTTGACAAGGAAACACGTATATCCAACCCGCTGCCAGGTTCAGGAGGAGTCCGTCCTGGACGTTTTATTCTTTTTGTTTATTTAATTTATCTTGTAATTATTGAACAATTTGTCGTAACATTATTATTTTAGCAGTGCAGCTGGTGGCAGGGAATAAACCCGATTTATTCTAAAATACTTCTTTCCGTTTTAGTTTATTTTCTTGTCTCTCGCGGACGCTCACCACCTGGAGATCCGTGTCTCCGGCTTGAGAACAACCCCGGTGCTCCCAGAGCGGGAGTTGAGGCCCGAGCCTGATTTTACTTAGTTTGACTATTTATTAGTGGAAGTTGTCTTAGTTGCAGTTGTTCTGAGTGGTACTGTTATCTACCTCTGGTACAAAGTGACCCAATTTCTGGCGTAAATAAAATATACACAAATGCGTTAAATTCTAAATTAAGTATCACCAAATTATTTTTATGTGTAGATTTATCGCCGTTCACCATTTACGCCAACTATCAACGTTACTTTGGTTTTAGTTTTGTCACAAAATGTACCTCATTACTGTAGTACTTCTTCTACAATCAGTGTCAATCCTGTGCGGCAACATTAAGACGTGTTCATATTTCCTTCAATTAGCCACCAAATGACCAACTGTCAAAAATTACCAATTAGTTACCAAATTGTCTTCCAATCAATTTGGAAAGAACTATCCTTGAGAGGTCAAAATTAGTAACTGTCACATTTTCATCAATTGCATGAGCCTCCAGCATTTTCTTTCATAATTGAGGTAACAACAGAAGAACTGACACGACGTTAATTTCAGCATTGAATATTCACACTATAAACTGCTAAGATACTTGAGGGCTTCGGATCCTTCCTCAAAATAATCAAGCATTACGGTTTCATTAACACCTTGAGTGTTTCGTGATGTATACCAATTTGAAAATGCTTTGTAGGTTTCATTATAACGTAATTTCGATTTTTCAGGTAACAGAGATGCGCAAGCAATGTTGGCAGCGTCTTCTATTGCCTTTAAATAACTTAAAACACTCATTTTTCACTTTGAACAACTATTTTTTAGGAAACTTCATGTGTAAACAAATTTTTTACCTTGTTGCTACGGAAATGAATACATTCGAATACGAGTTCCTGATAATTTGTTAAATATTTTTTAGTTACTACAATTATTACTTTTTAGTTACTGGTGTCGGTAGCAGAAAAAACGGCGTTGCCTCGGCCCGTCAAATCCACCTCGACAAAAAAGTTTACTTACGCAGGTTGTGATGTAAATTACTATTTATGTGTACCTTTATCGCCGCCCACTATTTATGTGAACCATCAACGTTTCATTGGTTTTAGTTTTGTCACAAAATGTACCTCGTTACCGTGGTACTTCTTCTACAATCAGTGTCCATCCTATGCAGCAACATATTAGGCGTGTTCATATTCCCTTCAGTTAGCCACCAAAGCGTCTTTCAGTCAATCTGGAAAGAACTGTCCTTGAAAGGTCACAACGTTACCGTGATAACACCAAATCCTTTAAACGACCCAACCTTGACAAATCTAACTGAAATTAGTATTAGCTTCACCTACAACTTTCTGAAACAAAGCACAATCCCAAAACTTTTGTCAAAAGAAGGCAACATTTTCCACAACTATGATGCTACTGCCCGCTTTATGGATATTATTGTAGAAGCCGAACTCAACAGTACTGGCTTCAAAGAACTGATAGCTGATCAGTCCAGACGTTTTGATTTGATTTTTGTTGAATTTCTTCATCCAATTGTGTACGCTTTAGGAGGGAGATTCGAAGCACCTGTCATTGGAGTTTCGGCCTTTGGAATAATGTCGGTCCACCATAACATTATTGGTAATCCAAGACATCCAGTACTGTATCCAGATCTTTTATTTGGTTTCTATAATATCGAGTCGTCAGTGTGGAAAAAAATTAAAAGTGGATTATGGAACGTGTGGACGGAGTACTACCACCATGTTATTTGGGTACCAAGAGAACATAGAGTTGCCAAGAAATACTTTGGTGAAGATTTGCCGTTCTTAGGGGATCTCGAGAAGGCTCAAAATATGTTTTTTCTAAATGTAAACCCTTTGTTGTATCCGCTGAGGCCCAACGTGCCGGCTATAGTCGAAATGGGGCAAATGCACATCAAACCGGTACAACCGCTTCCTCAAGTAAGTACCACCAATACTGGTAAGCCACATAACCTAACAATTTGATATGTACAGGATTTGCAACAAATATTAGACGATGCCACCAAAGGTGTGATCTATGTCAGCTTAGGTTCGAACGTCAAAAGCGTAAATTTAGATGAAAAACTGAGGAATACAATAGTAGAAGCCTTATCTGAATTACCTTACAAAGTTTTGTGGAAATGGGAGTACGAATCTTTGCCTGGAAAACCAAAGAACGTGGTAACAAGAAACTGGTTTCCCCAACAGGATCTCCTTGGTTAGTGATTGCTTACCAATTTTTCTATTTTAGTCAATTCTTTACAGCACATCGAAACATTCGTGCTTTCGTTACACAAGGGGGTCTTCAATCCATTGAAGAAGCAGTCTCTAGAGGGGTACCACTTATTGGGATGCCTTTCATGGGAGATCAGCCTTCAAATGTGCAAAAGATCGTAGACACGGGGATCGGGGTAGGTGTTGATCCAAGTACCGTGAGCAAGGAGGAACTAAGACAATGTATAATTCAGGTTGCCGAAAACAATAAGTACTTGTTTTTACTTTAAGTTTAATGTTGTCTGACTACTGTTTATTATTTTAGATATAAAAAACGAATCGAAGAAAGTCGTAAACTTTTGTACGATAAGCCGATGACGGGGCTGGAAAAGGTTGTTTGGTGGGCTGAGTACGTTATAAGGCATAAGGGAGCAATACATTTGAGGAGTCCAGGGGCTGATTTTTCTTGGTTTGAGTATTTATTAGTGCAAGTTGTCTTAGTAGTAACGATTATCATTATTACTATAATTTATCTCTTGTATAAAGTAAGGTCGTATATTAAATAAAAAATTCAATTAAATTATTTCAAGTATTAGGCTTACATTTTTTTTATGACGTAAATTTAGACAAATGGATGACTTTTAGTACGCCATACAACCTTAAGAATTCAGAGATAAGGCTTAAAACACACATTTATGGGCGAGAAAATTTACAACCACGTGCATTTAAACAGGTACCAAGCCCGAATCTGTATTTAAATTATAACCAGTTTCGTCAGACTGGAATTTATGTACCATGAAATCATTATTTATTTCTTCGTGTGTGGAAAGTCAGTAGTGGTCAGAACTAACAAGAAAATGTTGCCTGCACCTGTCATACTCCTTCTACATTCCACACCGGTCTTCTGCATCAATATATTAGGAGTGTTTATGGTTCCCTCATTCAGTCATCAGCGCGTTTTCCAATCAGTATGGAGCGAACTGTCTTTGAGAGGTAACAACGTCACTGTGGTAACACCAGATCCTTTAAACGACCCGTCTCTTACAAACCTAACCGAAATCAGTCTTCACTTCAGTTACGTCTTTTTAAAACAGATTAAAATCCATGAGCTGATGTCTAACGACTCAAACATCTTTCTCAACCTGGATGCCACTTTTCGTTTCATGGATTTAGTCGCAGAAGCTCAACTTAATAGTAGTCAATTCAAAGAATTAATAGATGATCAGACTAAACAGTTTGATTTGATTTTAATTGAATCTTTTCATCCAGTTATGTACGCCTTAGCGGGAAGGTTCAAGGCACCTATCATTGCAATTTCCGCCCGTGGAGTTATGGCAGTCATTTACACCATTTTTGGTAACCCAACACACCCGGTACTGTATCCAGACGCCTTGTTAAACTTCCACAATGGACGGTTATCACTGTGGAACAAAATTAAAAGCGTTTTGTGGAATTTGTGGTCGTGGTACTACCACCATGCTATTTTGGTACCAAGGGGGCATGAAACTGCAATGAAGTATTTTGGGGTGGATATGCCATACATAGGGGATATCGAGGCAAATCAAAGTCTGTTTTTTCTTAACACAAACCCTTTGGTGTACCCGCCGAGACCTATTGTACCCGTCGTGGTCGAAACCGGACAGATACACATTAAACCGGTGAAACCGCTTCCTGAGGATTTGCAACAAATTCTAGACGGTGCTACCGAAGGTGTGATCTACTTTAGCTTAGGGTCGAATGTTAAAAGCGTAAATTTAGAGAACAAAGTAAAGAACACCATAAGACAAGCTTTGTCTGAGGTACCTTACAAAGTTCTGTGGAAATGGGAGTCCGACTATTTACCTGGAAGGCCAAAGAACGTGGTCACAAGAAAGTGGTTTCCACAACAGGATGTCCTGGGTCAGTGTATACTTACTGATTTTTTTATTTTAATAAATGGTTGTAGCACATCGAAATATTCGTGCTTTCGTTACACAAGGTGGTCTTCAATCCATTGAAGAAGCAATCTTTACAGGGGTACCATTAATTGGGATGCCTTTCATGCGTGATCAACCAATGAATGTACAAAAACTCATCGACATGGGGATCGGATTAGGTGTTGATCCTGTTATTATGAGCAAGGAAGAGCTAAAAAAGCGTATAATTGAGGTTGCCGAAAACAACAAGTGAGTTGTAGTTGTTGTAGTTTGAGTATAATGAAGGGACAATTTTAGATACCGTGAAAGAATTCAGCAAATTCGTGACATTTTGTACGACAAGCCAATGACTGGACTGGAAAAGGTCGTTTGGTGGACGGAATATGTTGTTAGACATAAGGGGGCGAAACACCTGAGAAGTCCCACAGTTGATTTTTCTTGGTACGACTATTTATTAGTGGAAGTTGTCTTAACAGCAGTTGTAATGATTAGTACTATTGTTTATTTCTCGTACAAAGTAATCCAACTCTTGTTGTAACAAATTAAAATTAAAATGACAACGGATGCTCTCTTTTCATCACGCGGTTCCCTATATGACAGGTTCTATTTCTTGCTTGGACATACGATAGGAATGTTGCTCAGGGGTGACGTAAGGGCCATCTGCAACAGAATCGGTGTCGCTGCGGCCATCGGATCGTGACACCAAGATACGGATTTCATGGTCAAAATTCGGGAATGCCGGGGAAAATCTGGCGGATTCATGTTGTGAGGACTTTATCGCGAGCATAAAGTTGTCCAGGTTTTCGGTTTCGCAATACTGGGTGATCATAGTTTTTACGATGCTATTAGCTCTTTCAATGGGGTTCGCTTGAGGCGATGATCATTCAGAAAACGCTCAAAAGATCGACTGTCGAACTGGACGCCATTGCCTATAATCATTACCTTGGGACACCCAAATCTGGATATGTTTCGGTCGGTTAGCGTTCGGATTACGGTGGCGGTGATGGCCAACCAGGTCCACGCTAACGGGATCGACGTCTTCGGATGTCGGGACAAGACGTCGGCCACCTGGTTCAGAACACCCTTTCGGTACACCATCTCAAAGTCGTATGTCTGTAAGGACATTATCCAGCGGGAGAGGCAACCACGAGGATTCGATTGTCTCAGTAACCACTTTAACGACTGATGGTCCGTCTCGACAATGAAGTGATACCCCTCGGGATACGGGCGCATCTTCTGTTATGGTTAAGTCTAAGGATCCTGAGGAAGATGGGGATAAGATTAGAGAGAAAGTTAACAAAATGGATGTAGACGTGAAAGTGGAAAATCTGAGGAGGAACAGAAGTGGTGGATTAATAACTGAGACGAGGAATAAGGAGGAGATAGAGGTGATAAAGCAAGTGGCTAAGGCAAACCCGAACTGGTCCACGGAAGATGTGAAAAGGAGAAGATTTAGGATTATGTTGTATGATGTACCTGTGGAAATGGGGAATCAGGAATTGGTTGAGTCGATATATCGGAAAAATTTCGTGGGGAAGATGGCCGAGGAACAGTTTGGGGATAGTGTTAGAATTGTTGGGACTAGAGGATCGGGCAAGCAGGAACGGGTAAGGTAAGTCAAAATTTCGAAATTGTTGTGATTGAGGTTACGAATAAAGTTAGCGAGGTATTTTTGGACCAGGGTAGGGTGTATGCAGGCTGGCATTCGTTCAAATGTAAAGATTGGGTCGATGTGTTGAGGTGTTATAACTGTTACGGATACGGTCATGGTGCGTTTGATTGTAAGATCAGAAATAAGGTTTGCAGGAAATGTGGGGAACAGGGACATGTAGGGAAACAATGTAAGGCGACGATCGACCAGTGTAGGAATTGTAAGGTAGCGGGAAAGGAATTTGGCCACTCGGTGTTTCCCAGTATACGCCCGATATTTGTACAGCAGCCAGGTGCGGTCAGGAAATTTATTTATGGGCCTTAAAATCCTGCAAGCAAATTGTCAGGGTTGTTATAGTGTGATGTGTGACATAGGGGTATGTATGAAAGAGAATGATATATGGGTGGCGTTGTTGCAGGAACCATATGCAAGAGAGGGCCGGGTTGTTGGTGTGGCTGATGATATGAGAGTGTATATGTCCGCTGATGGTTGTGGAGCTGCAGTGTTGATGGATGACAGAGGTATGGATGCTGTACAAATAAGCATGGAGGGTTAAAATTTGGATATAGACTGTGAGTTAGGTAGCATGTGTGTGGTGTCTGTGTATTGTCGATATGGGGATGAGATTCGGCCGTATTTGGAATGGATAAGGAAGGTGTTAGGTGGATGCGAGGGAAAGGCAATGATGATAGGTATGGATGCCAATGCCGTCTCCCCCTGTGGTATAGTAAGTATGTGGGGAATTGGACTTGGAGGTTTTGAACAGACCATCTGATCTGTTCACTTTTAGCGGGCCAATGGGAAAGTCGGACATAGACGTCACGATAGTGAATGGTGGCTGGTTGAAGAGGTTTGTGTGTGACACTTGGGATGTTAAGGAAGACTGGAATGTGAGTGAGCACAATTGTATATTAATCGGTGTGGAAGGTGTGCGAGGGAAGTTCAAAGAGAAGATAAAAAAGGGAAGAGGGTGGTTCATGGGAAACGTCAACTGGGAGATGTTCAAATCAGAATTGGGAATGGAGGTCTATATGACCAGTCTTGAAAGCTTTGCGAGACTTCCGGATACGGAGCAGCTAGAAAGCCTGCACGGATGGATCTGCATTGCTATGGACAAGGCGACAAAAAGGTTTGTAAGGGGTAAAGGTAAAAGAGCAGCCTGGTGGACCCAGCAACTAAAGGATTTAAAAGGTCGAGTTGCAAAAGCAAGAAAAAATGGCAATTGACTCGTAAACGAGAGGGGAATTTGGACGGAAACGAGAGGTGCAGGTTCGAGTACTAAGGTTTGCTCAGACATTATAAAATGGCCATCAAGGAGACAAAGGTCTTATGGTGGAGGAATTTTGTCCGGTTTGTTGGCAATGCAGATCTGTGGAGTGCAGTTTATAAGCTCTGTAGGAGTGAGAAGAACGAAGGACTGGTAGGCGTATGGGGCGGTGATAGGAAAACGGAAACGTGGAGGGATACGATGGAGGTATTGTTGAGAGAGTTTTTCCCAGTTGACGTTCCCGTGAACTGTGAATTGTATAAAGGGGTGGAGGGTGTCGTCGAGAGAGTGAATTATGATGAGGTTGAAAGGAGAGTTGGGAGTATGAGGAAGAAGAAGTCGCCGGAAATGGATGGTGTGACGCCTGAAATGATGACGCTTGTGTGGGAGACTGTTCTGGAGTATGTGTTGAAGGTGTTTAATGCATGTACGGAGGAAGGATGGGTTCCAGATGAATGGAAGGTAGCGCGACTGGTCATCCTCTTGAAAGGCATGGATAAAGATAGGTCATTACCGAGGTCGTATAGACCTATCTGCCTCTTGAGTGTGATGGGCAAAGTGTTTGAGAGGGTACTGGTGGGGAGATTGGCGAGGGTACTTGAAAGAAGAAGGTCAAGGTTTCAGTTCGCTTTCGTGAAAGAATTGGGAATACAGAAGGCGTGGATAAGAGTGAAACAGGTTGTGGAGTGGTCGGAAAAGAAGTACGTGTTGGGAATTGTTGTTGATTTTAAAGGTGCGTTTGATAATCTGAGCTGGAATGCGGTGTTGAGTAAATTGATGGAAGTTGGATGTAAGGAGATCAAAGTTTGGGCGAGTTATTTTAGAGATCGGAAAGTGTGTGTGGTAGGAAGGGAAAATGAGATGGAAAGGAAGGTGCGTAGAGGATGTCTACAAGGATCTATCTGTGGACCGGCGATTTAGAACATGATGATGGATGGGTTGTTGGAAGGAATTGGAAGAAAAGGCATAGCGTGTGTGGCGTATGCGGAGGATCTGTTGTGTATGATTGAGGCGGATAATAAAAAGAGATTGAGGATGTGGGAACCGAAGTGATGGAAACGGTGGTTGCTTGGGGGAATGGAGTGAGTGTCGAGATCTCCACGAAGAAAACGGTTATGATGCTGTTGAAGGGATCGTTGTCTAAGTCGAGACCGCCGAAGGTGACGGTTCAGGAAAAGCGTGTGAAGTATGTGAAAGAGGTGAAGTATCTGCGTATAAGAGTTAGTGAGCGTATGAATTTTAGGTAAGTCGAGAGTCTGAGCTGTAGGGTGATCGGAGTGATGGGGAAATTGAGGCGTGCATTGAGGAAAGAATGGGGTCTGGATAAACGAACGGTACGAGTGGTGTATAAAGGATAGGGTGTGACGGAGTGAGGTATGGGGATGCGGGTGAAGAAGAATGAGAGAATGAAATAAGAGTGAAGTCGGTGCCGGTGAGGAATGGAAATACAAGCAACGGGACTGTAAAATAAATGGAATGTGTGTGGCCTCCGAAAATTCGCTTCGTTACAATAAAATCGGGCATGGTATCCGTTTAAATGTATAGCTGTAAATTTTCTCAACAATAAAAATGTATTTCAAGCCTTATCTATGAATTGTTAAGGTGATATGGCGTACTACCAGTCATCCATTTGTCTAACGTTACGTCATAGGGAAAATTTGGAAACCTAATATTTGAAATACTTAATTGGTCTAATTTTAAAACAGTTTATTGAGTCATAATTCACATTATTTTATTTACTGTATTCTGAGATTAAACCGTTAATATATGACCTTACTTTGTACAAGAGATAAATTATAATAGTAATGATAACAGTTGCTACTAAGACAACTTCCGCTAATAAATAGTCAAACCAAGAAAAATCAGCCCCTGGACTCTTCAAACGTATTTCTCCCTTATGCCTAATAACGTATTCAGTCCACCAAACAACCTTTTCCAGTCCTGCCATGGGCTTGTCGTACAAAACGTCACGAAGTTCCTCGATTCGTTTCTTATATCTAGAATAATCAACATTGTATTGTCTCTTCAGTAAAGTCGATATAAAAACAACCGCAACTCACTTGTTATTTTCAGCAACCTCGATAATACACTTTTTTAGTTCCTCCATGCTCACAGTAACCGGATCAACACCTAATCCGATCCCCATGTCTATAATTTTGTGGACATTCGAAGGCTGGTCAGTCATGAACGGTATCCCAATGAGTGGTACCCCTCTAGAGACTGCTTCTTCAATGGATTGAAGACCACCTTGTGTAACGAAAACACGAATATTTCGATGTGCTAAAAGAATTTCTTAAAAGAAGGAAATTAGTAGGTAAACGCTAACCAAGGAGATCTTGTTGGGGAAACCACTTTCTTGTGACCACGTTCTTTGGTTTTCCAGGCAAGTAATCGGACTCCCATTTCCACAGAACTTTGTAAGGTAGTTCAGACAAGGCTCCCAATATATTGTTCCTTAGTTTTTCATCTAAATTTGTGCTTTTAACGTTAGAGCCCAAGCTGAAGTAAATCGCACCTTCCACAGCATGGTCTAATAGTTTTTGCAAATCCTACACATTTCAAGGTGAGTTAAGGTTATAAGAATGCGTTTGTGGTACTTACTTCAGGCAGTGGTTTCGCCGGTTTAATGTGTATTTGATCCATTTCCACTATAGCGGGTACATTAGGCTTCGGTGGGTACACAACAGGGTTTAGATTAATAAAAAGCATACTTTGACTCGCCTCCATATCACCTACGTACGACACACTCTCCCCAAAATACCTTTCTGCCATACCTTGAGATCTCGGTACCAAAATATAATGGTGGTGGTACCATGACCACAAACTCCACAGAACACTTTCAATTTTGCTCCACAGCGATTTTTCAACATTGTGGAAACCAAATAAAACATCTGGGTATAGTAATGGGTGTGAGGGATTGCCAAGAATGTTGTAGTTGACTGCCATTAGTCCAAAGGTAGCAACCGCAATTACAGGTGCTTTGAACCTCCCAGCTAACGCATACATAACGGGATGAAGACCTTCTACCAAAACCAAATCAAAATGATTGGACTGGTCAGCTATTAGTTGTTTGAACATAGAAGTGTTCAGTTCGGCTTCTACAATAGAATCCATGAAACGGTACCCAGAAAACAATCTCTGAAAAACGTTTGAGTCTTTTGAATACACATCATGGATTTTGGTTTGTTTTAAAATGTCGTAGGCGACGCGAACACTAATTTCGGTCAGGTTTGTTAGAGAGGAGTCGTTTAAAGGGTCGGTTGTTACTACCGTGACGTTGTGACCTCTCAAGGATAGTTCTTTCCATATTAATTGGAAAACGAGTTGGTGACTAACTGAGGGAAAGAAGAACACTGCGAGTATATTGCTGCACAGGATAGGTGTGGAAAATAGAAGAAGTACAATAGTTGCAGGGTACATTTTCTTGTCACTATTAAACGATTAAATGGGCCGTTGGCGCTTTATACTCAGTGCAAAAAAAATAAAAATATAAATTATAATCAAAAAATAAAAGCGATATCTGGCATATAAATCACAGCGTGAATGTTCAAAAACAGGTCACACTATAAGTTTAGCCAAGGGGTTATTTATGTACATAATATATTAAATTCCCTGTAGAAAATTATTATTGCACCTAGAAATATTGTCGGTATTAAGCAGCAAGAAGTGTTACACTGCTGAGTCTCCTCTCCTCAAACAGAACTACCAGAAATGTTGTAGTGAACTGTCAGTACTCCAAATACACAAATTCCAACGACAGGTGCCTTGAAACTTCCAGATAAAGGGTACATGACGGGATTAATACACTCCATTAATACCAAGTCAATTTCATTATATTTGTCATTTATTAGTTCCCTGAACCCTGTACTATTAAGCTCAGCTTCTACAATCACATATAGGAAACGACACGCTTCGTATAAATTTTGGAAAACAATGGTGTCTTTCGATAAAACCTCCTGAATTTTGATTTGTTTTAGAAAATTGTAGGTGAAACGAACACTAATTTCGGTTAGGTTGGTTAGAGAAGGGTCATTTAAGGATAGTTCTTTCCAAATTGATTGGAAGACGATGCACAGAACAGGTGTGGGAAATAGAAGAAGTACCACAGATCCAAGAAACATGTTTTTATTATTTCCAACTACGACTAACGAAATTGTAATTTTCTATACAAGGGAAAAAAACGACAAAATCGATATCGTTACATATAAATTGTTGACGACTGCTTACACATTTGATGATTATTTAAACACATATATAAGGGTAAATTATTTTAGCGGCACTAAACAGTACAGTTCAGTACTATTTTCACACACATTTAGTCCATTGGATTATTTTGTACGAGAGATAAATAATGATACTAATCATTACAATTGCTATTAACACAACTTCCACTAGGAAATAGTCAAAATAAGAAAAATCAGCTGTTGGACTCCTCAGGTGTTTTGCCCCCTTATGCCCAATAACGTACTCAACCCACCAAACAACTTTTTCCAGCCCCGTCATCGGCTTATCGTACAAAAGTTTACGACTTTCTTCGATTCGTTTTTTATATCTAAAATAATAAATAGTAGTCAGACAACATTAAACTTAAAGTAAAAACAAGTACTTATTGTTTTCGGCGACATTAACTATACATTGTCTTAGTTCGTCCTTGCTCACGGTACTTGGATCAACACCTAGCCCGATCTCCGTGTCTACAATTTTTTGCACATTTGATGGCTGATCTCCCATGAAAGGCATCCCAATGAGTGGTACCCCTCTAGAGACTGCTTCTTCAATAGATTGAAGACCCCCTTGTGTAACGAAAGCGCGAATATTTCGATGTGCTGTAAAGAATTTACTAAAATAGAAAATGTGGTAAGAAATCACTAACCAAGGAGATCTTGTTGGGGAAACCACTCTTTTGTTACCACGTTCTTTGGTCTTCCAGGCAAGTATTCGGACTCCCATTTCCACAAAACTTTGTAAGGTAATTCAGATAAGGCTTCTATTATTGTGTTCCTCAGTTTTTCGTCTAAATTTACGCTCTTGATGTTTGACCCTAAGCTGACATAGATCACACCTTCGGTGGCATCGTCTAATATTTGTTGCAAATCCTGTACATATCAAAATGTTAGGTTATGTGGCTTATTAGTATTGGTGGTACTTACTTGAGGAAGCGGTTGTACCGGTTTGATGTGCATTTGCCCCATTTCGACTATAGCAGGCACGTTGGGCCTCAGCGGATACAACAAAGGGTTTACTAATTTAGAATTTAAAGAGTTTGTTTATATTTTATTTGCGTCAGTAAATGGTTAATTGGATTAGTTTGTACCAGAGGTAGATAGTAGTACCACTCAGTACAACTGCAACTAAGACAACTTCCAATAATAAATAGTCAAACCAAGTAAAATCAGCTGCCGGACTCCTCAAGAGTTCCGCTTCCTTATGTCTAATAACGTACTCAGACCACCAGACAACCTTTTGCAGCCCAGTCATTGGCTTGTCGTACAATATGTCTCGAATTTCCTGAATTCTCTCATGGTATCTAAAATTGTTCCTTCGTTAAACTCAAATCACAACAACTATAACTCACTTGTGGTTTTCGGCAACGTCAATTATACACTTTTTTAGCTCTTCCTTGCTCATAGTAACAGAATCAATACCTAATCCGATCCCCATGTCGATGATTTTTTGTACATTCATAGGTTGATCACGCATGAAAGGCATCCCAATTAATGGTACCCCTCTAAAGATTGCTTCTTCAATGGACTGAAGACCACCTTGTGTAACGAAAGCTCGGATATTTCGATGTGCTGCAAACATTTATTATGATAGAAAAATCAATAAGTAAACACTGACCTAGGAGATCCTGTTGGGGAAACCACTTTTTTCTGATCACGTTCTTTGGTCTTCCAAGTAAATAGTCGGACTCCCATTTCCACAGAACTTTGTAAGGTAACTCAGACAAAGCTTGTCTTATCGTGTTCCTTACTTATTTCTCTAAATTTACGCTTTTAACGTTCGACCCTAAACTAAATTAGATCACACCTTCGGTAGCATCGTCTAGTATTTGTTGCAAATCCTGAGGAAGCGGTTTCACTGGTTTAATGTGCATCTGTCCAATTTCGACCACGACGGGTACATTAGGTCTCGGCGGGTACACCAAAAGGTTTGTATTAAGGAAACACAAACTTTGATTTGCCTCAATACCTGGAACGTAAGCTATATAACATCACCATGGAGTACTCATGCTATGTAATCAACACCTAATGTTAACTGCATTTACTAGATATCTCATTATTGTGTCGCAGCGATATAGTTGGCAGGTAAGCCTTGTAACATCACAATGGGGTACTACGGTTATGTAACCAATAAGTAATGTTAACTGTAGTTACTAGATATCTGATTAATATATATACACATGCTTCGGAATGTTTTATTTTTATTAGTTAATTATGTAAAGTGTTTTTCAGTTCATTTTACAAAATGGCATGTTAAATCGAAAATTAACGTTTCTGACACGGCAACAGCAAAAAACATTTAAAAACATACATATCGAGTATTATATAGCTCTATTTTATATTTATTATTTATGTTTGTGTTGCAAGTAAATAGTATATTCATAAACAAAAGATGCTGAGTCTTAAAAAAAGAAATTTCTTCCCTGTCTTAAATCTTGCATAAGCGAGATGACGCCAATAGTGAGTTGCTCTTAATTTTTTTTTTTTTTTCATATTATATTTCCTGCAATTATATTTATTTATAATTTTATTTTTATACGTCCATAACGACCTGCGCTTTATAAAACAGAACAAGAGACTTAATGCACATAGTTTATGATCAGAATTAAAAAATGTCCCATCTAACAGGTAATACGAATTAAGACTAGCAATGAGACATCATTTTTTAACCTCTGCCTATGCGTCACTGCCAAAAAGGAACAATTATACATATACAGAATTTTGAAATGAGTTCGAAAAATAAAATGATATATTTCATTATTTTATTAATTCTAATGCAAAATATGTTGATCGGCAGCAAAAGCAACACAAAGAAAAAAATCGAAATTAAAAAACTAATCTATTTCAAGGTCAGCGATATCGTTCTTAGATAAAAATGAATTAAATAATTTCTTCACTTTGATCGTAAGGAAAATAAATAATAATTTGAATACGAAACAATAATTGATCATCGAGTTTTGTGTATTGACTTTCGCACTCAGTTATAGGTATATCTGTTTAACATTAAATTTTCAAAAGTTTTGATTTTTCCAATGTAATCTTGGGCTCTAAAATAAACTGGTAATATATAATGTATAATTATAATTGAGTATTTTCGTGGTTGATCTTTAAATTATTATTTTCTCAAAAAATTCACTTAATTTCATATCCAATATGTAGCTAACTGAAAACTGATAATAAAGCAGCAGATAAGACGAAATAGTGTAGACTTTTTTTAATGTCAGTAATAGAGTGTATGTAATAACTAGAGAGCGGAAAAAATGCAGCAAAATTTTGGGAAATATGATCATATGATATGCATCAAATTTATGCAAATATGCAATAACTTTCTTAATATATGCAGAGATATGCAGTTGCATATGCTCCAAAAATAAAAAAAGCGTAATAACCGAACTAAATTTATTTACTAATTGCAAAAATACCTTACCTTTTATTACAAAAAATACATAAATCACATTGCAAAGTGTTTAATTAGATCTCACTGACAAATAAATGACATTTTTTAAGATAATATTCTTATACTAAAAAATAAATATAGGTAAACAGAACGAATTAAAAAATAGTAGTAATCGACTATTTAATTACTATTTTGGTAACAATTTATTTTTAAATATTTTTCGAAATATTCTAACAAAAATTTTTCCGGTGATTCTAAAGTATGTATTTGTAAATAGAAAAACTGCGTACTCCGTCCACAGATGTAAAAATACTTATCGGATTAGAGCAGGCACAACAAAACACAGTTCCTTCTTGAAGAATAAGTTCAGGAAAAGGTTTAATTCATAAATTAATTTGAGTTATCTACATATTGACATACATCTCTATCGCTTTAAATACTTAAATGCAAACCACCATAAAACATACCATTAATACACTTAAGTAACGAACAAAAATATTGAAATAAACGGTATTTCCAAAAGTAATTAGGACCCGAATTTACCTGGAAGGATGGCTTAACACCCAGTGGTTTCTCCAAACTACCATAAAACCCAAACCATTCCCAGTTATTTGAAGCTCAGGACAATATTTGCAATATGATTCATGAAATTTTGTCTTTCTAGAAAAACGCCGATCGAATGGCAATTTTTTTTTTTCAAAGTAGCACAAAAATTGATAAAAATGCAAAATATGCACCCGTTACGTGAAATATGCAGCAGAAGGCAAATATATGCAAATATGCAATTTTTTTATAGCTGTATTCATTTTTAATTAGCATGATTCGTTCACATTTTAAATATCAAGACTTATATTCAAAGAATAACGGATATGCAAATTTCATAAAATCCGCTCTCTAAATTAATAACCAATACATCGGATATGTTTCTGTTTTTGTCTTCGCTCGACACCTCTGTATTTACAGTATTTAAGCAAGTATACGTTTCCGCCCCTAAAATCCCACGTACGGCATCCTTTGCCCACGTAAATACAGTATCTGGAATGAAGACAGAAACAGAAATAGTTTTACAACACCTTATCAAAATTTAAAAAAACCACTATGGTATTATTTGAAATTTATTGTTAATTAGATGTGGGTCGTCGTATTCTTTAAAAAGCGACCTTCGTCAGTGAGTTCGTAATGCTTAATTAATAATTATATTCAGAGCGAAAAATACAACGGCTTTATTAGAAATACACCAAAGACAAGTTTTTTTCATTCTAATAATTTCTAATTGTTCACTTGGAATGTTATTTTGTAAGTACCTGCTTGGCAAATTGTAAATAGAACATCTATAAGGTGACCAGATTTCAAAAGTCCGAAATCGGAACATTAGTTTCCATTTCCATCGTAATCTGATATATAACTGCTTTGAAAATTTTTAGTTGTAATATACTAACAGTACTGACATCTGCTGACATTTAAAACAATGCTGACAACCGTATCGATACAAATTTTGTTCCCAATTTTTCACAAAATAAAATTACTATTCATGAAAATTAGTGATTTATCCGATAATTTATCTTTATTCTTATCAGATTTATAGAAATTGGAACATTCACGGAACGAATGTTTTAATCGGAACATTAATTGGACGAAATTTGAAATCGGAATTAGAGTATTGAAATTGGTACAGTTCCGATCAAATCGGAACGTATGGTCACCTTAAACATCTGGGGTAATATAGGGAAGACCCAACGACACAAACAAAGCCATAAAAATTTTTTGCCCATTGTCCCTGAAACGGGACAAGGTTTTGAAGAGTTCGTCGAATTTTGATTTTATAAAGACGTTTATAAAGCGATGATGGGTAACAAAAAAATTAGAGAGTGGTTAATTTTGATTTTATTAAATTTATTTCATCTAATGAAAAAATAACACTCAAATTCTGCATTTACTATCCACCAGATGTTTGGGGGGTGCAGTCGGACCTTTGTTGGTTTGGTTTGTCTATGAGTCGGACAATCCCCTTTTTCCGTATTTATGGTTATTGCACTTCACACTCACAGTGAAGCTGTCGAATTCCATTTGGCCATTTGGTCCACAACCACCGAACCTTTCTCGTGAATCCGTAACTCACTTAATTTTTAATGCAGGTTTGTGAAAATTGTGCCATTCAGTGTGGGTTGTATTTACACTAGGTAAGTTAATATAATTCTAATGAAGTAATCATTTTAATTTTTACATGCTTCTGTTGTTTTTGATAACTGTACGTAAATAACAAAAACAGTTTTCTCAGATAAGCTGAAATACCACCATTAATCACTGAAGATACTCCCGCTGATTTTGAAGAACTTACGGTGATTGTTTTTGAAAGTGAGGTGCTTTGCCATAACATGTTGCAAAGGTATGTTACTGCAATTTTTTATGAACTAAGTGCTAATGAACATAATTTTACTCTAGACTTGAAACAAATACAAAAAATATGTGCCAAACAAAAGAAAATCTAAAGGAAACGAGTGAACAAATCTCCAATATGAAAACGTCATCAAATGTGCCAAATCACAAAGAAAACAGTAATAGAAGATATGCCGCCAAGACCACAGGTAAACAAATTTTGAGGAATTAGAAGATTATCTCTGCCTACTACAACAAGCAGGTTTCTTTGTAAGTTAAAAAAATACAATAAATTTATATGTACTTACATATAACATAATTTTGGATATTATATACAGGTAGATGCCTGTAATACTATAACACTTTTTAGGAACCTACTAAACATTACACATTTCGCTTAACACGTTACATACATAGTGGGTTGCAGAAAAGTCTTATAGTGAAGCACCCTGTATGTTATACATACGCGGCGACTTCCAAATAGATTCGGAGAAAAAATCCTTTAATTGTCACGCGGATTCAAAGTAATTAAATTGCTGGTCCAGTTTCAAGAAACAAATACGGAACATCTAGTTAAATGTCAATGATGCGGCAATGATTTATTCAGTTTCCATTGTGACTAAATTTTTTCTTTGTTTTTGCTGCATACGGTGTACCGTTCCCAAAGTACTTTTTTGCAATACCATGTGCTCTTGGTACGAAAATCTCATGGTGGTGGTATCTTGATCACAAACTCCATAAAACACTCTTCACTTTGTTCCACATCGATGTTCTATATTATGGAAGCCAAACAGAACTGGGTACAGTACCGGGTGTGTGGGATTACCAGAAATGTTGTAGCCAACAGCCAATACTCCAAAAGCACAAATTCCAATGATAGGTGCCTTGAATCTTCCAGTTAAGGGGACTCGCTAGACGAGATATAACATTTTTTTGGTTTTTTGTATGAAAAAATGATATTAATATTGATGTATCATACATCAAACTGCAGCTTTTTTCATATTCTAGAGCGCAGAGACCAGTTCAATCAATTAAAAAAATATGGCTGAGAAATATCGTAAAAAAAGCACCATTCAGTGCAGTTTTTTTTTCAAGTTTTTTGAGTCATAACGATCATAGAATCGCTTGAAAATTCGCACATGGATAAAACATCACTTTTTACCGGGCGCAGTCATTAAATGTTTGTTAGTGGTACAATTTGTTTAAATAATAATGTGTTTATTAAAATCAAAATATACCACAAATTAAAGCAAAATACGTCGAATAATTTTAACAGGAATATCAGAGGAAAATTAATGATCTATAGGTTAGCAGAGTTTTTAATAAAAACTAACAATTATTGAAAAAAATGGGTATCAATTCGACAGAATTTGAGCCGTTAGTTCAGTACTTTGCCGATAGGAGCGCCACTAAAATTTACGGAACCGACTTTCCAGGTAAAACCCTTATCGCCTGCTCTACCATAAGCTGATTGTTGGCATTCTCGGCTGATTTTTCTAATTTATGGCAAGGAACTCATTTTTATAACAAGCCACCAGGACCGGCCGTAGTAATCTATTGTTAAGGAAATTAACTTTTACGCAGTGAGGTACTATCATAAAATCGAATTAAAACTGGAGAACTATAATATTTTTACTCCACTTAGGATCCTGAATTCAATACACATGATTACTAAAAATTCATTGTAATATTGTTGTTAATATATATTTTACTTTGTTAATTAATAAAACTAATAAACATATTTATAATAATAATAAAAAATGTATAAAATACAGCTTTTGTTTAACACGTATAAGTAACTAAGTGTATCTACTAGTTATCCCAGAAAGGAGGTGTTTTAAAAAAGCCCTACGCCCAGTAACTTCTCCCTTCATTGTTTACTCGAAAAAAGTACTCGTATATGTTTTCATTTGCCGAGAGATCATTTTCAAAATATATTTATAATAAAAATATGCAAGTCTTCGTGATGAAAAATGTACTCCTAATAAATTATTAAAGTACCTAAAAAAATAGAAACAAATTTTACTTATTTAAAAAAAATCTCTCGCAAAGGCAGGTTCCTCTTTCTTCTTAAATCAATTATTTCGGGCAATAATGCGCCAAAGTAAAATCCACCAAGTTTATCTGCCATCTTTTTACATATTTCTTCATCTTTATAAATTTTTTCTATATTAATTCCTTTGCGTGTCCACACAACAAAATAAACTTGTGAAATTCCCGTAACAAGCATTTGTCCCTGGACTTGAAAGTAGTAATCATGATTTTTTTTAGTTTCAATTCTCTGTCTGTCAATATACAAAATTTGACTTTTTTTTCTAACCGCTTCTTCGGGAGACAAATCTTGCGATTTTGAAGGGCATTTAATTTCGACTAATGCACTCCTAACCTCTAGAACCCTGTCTGGACTAGCAGCCAAGTAAGGAAATTCTTTTGAAATAAAGACACACCGTTCAGTTTTTATATTTTTATTTATTTCAAAACATTTGACAGCTTTTTCCTCACTTTGCTGTCCATAGTATGTATGACTATTACCTTTAAATGTACTGTACAACAGAGACTCCACAGTTTTAGTATTTCTGTAGTCGGTCTAAGTTTGTAAATACGTCCAAAATTTGAAGACGTAACCCTAATTTCTCTTTCTTTTGCCCAAATGTGCCTGTTGCCTAGTGTCTATTTCAATTTGGTCTAAATTCAAAGATAATTTTCTCAAAAAAAAGTCTTTGGCTGTCACAAATGTTTCTACATCCATGTCAGGATTATCTAACAAATATTTAAACCGTAATCGCAATCGGGACCAGCATAGGTACATTTTTTTTATGACATATTTTTTTACGAATACTTTGTCTAAGACGAGCTTGTTTCATAGACGAACAATATTTTTTTGTCATTAAACCAGGACCGTTTTAATCACAATATATTTACTTATCCCCTCTAAAAAAATCATGACGTCACCTCAAAATTTTGCTGAATAAATCCAATCTAAAATGTACAAAATATGATGAGTCTCTTCTCGCAATTTATCATCCCATTCATATTTTTTGAATTTGGACATATAGGGTTACTCAAAAAATTTAATGAATGCGCAAATTTATTTTATTAATTTAATCAGGAACTACAAAACCGAATACTTTGAACTCTTGGAAATCAAAATATATCATCCCTTCTAAAAAATGGATGACGCCACCCCAAAATTTTGCTAAATAAATCCTATCTAAATTGTATAAAATATTATGAGTCTCTTCTTGTAATTTATCATTCCATTCATATTTTTTGGATTCGGTGACTCAAAAAATTTAATGAATGCGCAAATTTATTTTATTGATTTAATCAGGAACTACAAAACCGAATGCTTTGAAATCTAATGTGAAAAAAAACATAATAGGCATGCAGTCGTCACGTTTCCGATGGCGAGGGAAGTACTGTCTAAACTCTTTAGACCAATTTTTTTGATTTTCCCATTTCTCTATTTCTCAATTTTTCAATGTTTCAGTTTTGGATTTTTTCACTGTTTCAATTCCTTAATTTTCCTTCCATTTTTAAGTTTTTCAGTATTTCAGCTTTGGAATTTTGCAATATTTCGTTTCTTCAGTTTTTCAAATTTTTGATTTTGATCGGTTTTTTAATTTTTCGACATTTTAATTTTTCAGTTTTTAAATTTTTAGGTTTTTAGATTTCTCACTATCTCGACTTTTCGATTTTTCAGTTCCATAATTTTTCAATTTATCGAATTTTTAAATTTTAGATTTTTTGTTTTCTTTGATGTATTGAGTTCTCGATCATTCGATTTTCTGAGTTTTCAGGCTTATATTTTTTTTTTGTTCAATCCTTGGATTTTGAAAATTTTTGTTTTTTAAATGTTCCTATTTATCAACTTACTGGGATTTCAATGTTTTGATTTTTTGATTGTTCAATTTCTCGATTTTTTGAATTTTTAGTTTTTGATACGATTTTTTTTTTCAAAAATTTTCAGTTTTTCAATTTATTAACTTTACGGTATTTCAGTTTTGCCCGATTTCGATTTCTCAATTTTTCGACATATTACTGTTGGGATTTTTCAATTTATCGATTCTTCGATTTCTCCATTCTTCATATTTTCGGTTTCTCGAATTTCTTCATTTTTCGATTTCTCAATTTTCCGATGTTTCAGGGTTACGATTTTTAATTTTTTTTATTTTTCAGTTTTCAGTTTTTGACGTTTCTAAATTTTTCGATTTCTCAATTTTTCGATTAATAACTGATTTTTTGATTTTCCCATTTCTCTATTTCTCGATTTTTCAATTCTTTCTTCAATTGTGATTTTTCAATTTTTCCATTTCTGAATTTTTCAATGTTTCAGTTTTGGATTTTTTCACTTTTTCGATTTTTCAATTTTCCTTCCATTTTTCAGTTTTTCAGTATTTCAGTTCTGGGATTTTGTAATGTTTCGGTTCTTCAATTTTTCCATTTTTTGATGTTTCGATTTCTCGGTTTTCAATTTTTCGGTAGGTATTTTAATTTTACAATTTTTAAGTTCTACACTTTCCGTTAATTTTTTGTTTTCCTTGATGTTTTGATTTCTCGATTATTCGATTTTTCAAGTTCTCGGTTTAGATTTTTTGGTTTTCCAATTCTTCGATTTTTAAATTGTTTAATTTTTAGATTCTTCAATTTCTCGATTTTTAGATTTTTCAATTTTTCGGTTTACCGATTTTTTTTCATTAAAAATGTTTCAATTTTTCAATTACTAACTTTTCGATTTTTCAATTTTGGTCTAATTTGATTTCTTAATTTTTTGATTTTTTGACTCCTCTACTGTAGATGTTTTGATTTCCCGATGTTTAATTTTTGAACATTCCGATGTTTCGATTTTTCGACTTTTTGGCTTTTCGAATGTTCAATTTTTTGATTTTTGAATTTTAGATTTTTTTTTTTAATTTTTTGGTGTTTCGATTTCCCAATTCTTCAATTTTTCGATATTTTAATTTTTCAATTTTTCGAATTTTTAAATTTTGGATTTTTCTTTTCTTTTATTTCTCAATTTTTGGATTTTTTAAATTTTGCATTATTTAGGATATAGCTGCGCCGAATGGGTGTGGGAAATAGAAGAAGTACCACAGATACAAGGAACATTTTATTATTATTTCCAACTACGTCTAACGAAACTGTAGCTTTCTACACAACGGAAAAAAACAACAAAATCGATATCGTTACATATAAATTATTGTTGACGAATGCTTAAAACACACTTGGTGATTATTTAGTACTATTTTCACACACATGCGGTCGGTTTGACAGATAACTATTGACAATTAGTCAATCGGATTATTTTGTACGAGAGATAAATAATGACACTAATCATTACAGTTGCGATTAACACAACTTCCACTAGGAAATAGTCAAAATAAGAAAAATCAGCTGTTGTCCTCCTCAGGTGTTTTGCCCCCTTATGCCTAATAACGTACTCAGCCCACCAAACAGCCTTTTCCAGCCCCGTCATCGGCTTATCGTACAAAAGTTTACGACTTTCTTCGATCCGTTTTTTATATCTAAAACAATAAACAGTAGTCAGACAACATTAAACTTAAAATAAAAACAAGTACTTATTGTTTTCGGCAACATTAACTATACATTGCCTTAGTTCCTCCTTGCTCACGGTACTTGGATCAACACCTAACCCGATCCCCATGTCTACAATTTTTTGCACATTTGATGGCTGATCTCCCATGAAAGGCATCCCAATGAGTGGTACCCCTCTAGAGACTGCTTCTTCAATGGATTGAAGACCCCCTTGGGTAACGAAAGCACGAATATTTCGATGTGCTGTAAAGAATTTACTAAAATAGAAAATTTGGTAAGAAATCACCAACCAAGGAGATCCTGTTGGGGAAACCAGTGTCTTGTGACCACGTTCTTTGGTCTTCCAGGCAAGTATTCGGACTCCCATTTCCACAAGACTTTGTAAGGTAATTCAGATAAGGCTTCTATTATTGTGTTCCTCAGTTTTTCATCTAAGTTTACGCTTTTGATGTTTGACCCTAAGCTGACATAGATCACACCTTCGGTAGCTTCATCTAGTATTTGTTGCAAATCCTGTACATGCCAAAATGTGAGGTTATGTGGCTTATTAGTATTGTGTACTTGCTTGAGGAAGCGGTTGTACCGGTTTCATGTGCATCTGCCCCATTTCGACTATAGCGGGTACGTTGGGCCTCGACGGGTACAACAAAGGATTTACATTTAGAAAAAACATGCTTTGACCCGTCTCGAGATCTCCTAAGTACGGCAAATTTTCACCAAAGTACTTTTTTGCAACCCTATGTTGTCTCGGTACCCAAATAACATGGTGGTAGTACTCTGAATACACGCTCCATAAAGCACTTTTAATTTTGTTCCACACTGACGACTCGATGTTATAGAACCCAAATAGAAGATCTGGGTAAAGTACTGGGTGTGTGGGATTACCAACAATCTTGTCGTTGACTGATATTAGTCCAAACGCAGAAACTCCAACAACAGGGGCTTTGAATCTCCCTCCTAAAGCGTACATAATTGGATGAAAAAATTCGACTAAAATCAAATCAAAATGTCTGGACTGATCAGCTATCAGTTCTTTGAAGCCAGTACTGTTGAGTTCGGCTTCTACAACAACATCTATAAAACGAATCGTAGCGTCATAGTTTTGAAAAATGTTGCCATCTTTTGACAAAAGTTTTTGGATTTTGGTTTGTTTTAGAAAGTCGTACGTGAAGCTAATACTGATTTCAGTTAGGTTTGTCAAGGTTGGGTTGTTCAAAGGATTTGGTGTTACCACAGTGACGTTGTGACCTTTCAGGGATAGTTCTTTCCAGATTGACTGAAAAACGCTTTGGTGGCTAATTGAAGGAAATATGAACACGCCTAATATGTTGCTGCACAGGATGGACACTGCTTGTAGAAGAAGTACCACAGTAACGAAGTACATTTTGTGACAAGACTAAACCAAGGTTACGTTGATAGTGGTAGTCGGCGATAAAGGTAGACATAAAAATAATTTTGTGATACATAAGTAATTTAGAATTTAACGAGTTTGTGTATATTTTATTTGCACCAGAAAATAGCTAATTGGATCACTTTGTACCAGAAGTAGATAACAGTACCACTCAGCACAACTGCAACTAAGACAACTTCCACCAATAAATAGTCAAACCAAGTAAAATCAGCTGCCGGACTCCTCAAGTGTTCCGCCCCTTTATGTCTAATAACGTACTCAGACCACCAAACAACCTTTTCCAGTCCCGTCATGGGCTTGTCGTACATAACGTCACGAATTTCGTGAATCCTTCGATGGTACTTGTTGTTTTCGGCAACCTCAATTATACATTTTTTTAATTCCTCCTTGGTCACAGTACCTGGATCAACACCTAGTCCGATCCCTATGTCTTCAATTTTCTGGATATTCGAAGGTTGGTCAGTCACGAAGGGCATCCCAATGAGTGGTACCCCTCTAGAGACTGCTTCCTCAATGGATTGTAGACCACCTTGTGTAACAAAGGCACGAATATTTGGATGTGCTACAACAAATTATTAAATAAGGAAAATTTCTAAGTCAGTACCAACCAAGAATATCTTGTTGTGGAAACCACTTTCTTGTGACCACGTTCTTTGGTCTTCCAGACAAATAATCGGACTCCCATTTCCACAAAACTGTGTAAGGTAATTCAGATAAAGCTTCTATTACGACGTTCCTCAGTTTTTCATCTAGATTTACGCTTTTAACGTTCGAACCTAAGCTGAAGTAAATCACACCTTCGGTACCATTGTCTAGTATTTGTTGCAAATCCTGAGGAAGAGGTTTCACGGGTTTAATGTGCATCTGCCCCATTTCAACTATCATGGGTACATTTGGTCTCAATGGGTACAATAAAAGGTTTAGATTATGAAAAAGCATGCTCTGATTCTTCTCAATATCTCCTACATACGGTGTATCGTCGCCAAAGTACTCCTTTGCAATGCCTTGTGCTCTTGGTTCTAAAATATCATGGTGGTGGTACCTTGACCACAAACTCCATAGAACACTTTTAATTTTGTACCAAATCGATTGTTCAATATTATAGAAGCCAAATAGAACATCTGGGTACAGTACCGGGTGTGTGGGATTACCAACGTTATTGTAGTTGACTGCCAGTACTCCAAACGGGGCAACGCCAACAACAGGTGCCTTGAATCTTCCCGCTAACGCGTACACAAGGGGGTGAATACCATCTACTAGTACCAAATCAAAGTGATTATATTTGTCTACTATTAGTTTTTTGAACCCAGTACTATTAAATTCGGCTTCTACCATCACATCAAGGAAACGACACGCATCGTACAAACTTTGAAAAACGTTGGTATTTTTCGATAAAACCTTTTGGATTTTGGCTTGTTTTAGAAAGTCGTAGATGAAGCGGACACTGATTTCGGTTAGGTTGGTTAGCGAAGGGTCGTTTAAAGGGTTGGGTGTTACCACAGTGACGTTGTGACCTCTCAAGGATAGTTCTTTCCATATTGATTGGAAGACGCTTTGGTGGCTAAATGAGGGATATGTGAACACTCCTAAAATATTGCTGCACAGGGTAGATGTGGAGAGTAGAAGAACACCAAATACAAGGAACATTTTCTTACTGTTTCAAACTGTTCCCACAACAAAAATAACAACGATAGTGAAGTGTATCCTGTTACATATTATTTACATTTTGACGACTGCTTAAACAGTAGGTCAAGTTTGCTGATTATATGTAGTCGTAAATTATTTTATCGGTACAAACCTATTAAGTCGTTTGTGTTTGACCACCAACTTTTTTTCAATGACACTATGCAGTTATTAGAACTCTAAATTCGCGTAATTTACCTAAAGTTGTTTGAAACAAATTTGGAACTCTCAGCACAAACCTATATTATATAACATGTAACACATTAGATATATTATTACTGGTTAGAAATGGATCGGCAAGAATTTATAAAAATGATAATAATTAACACTAACAAGAGTAAAATTAGTTTAAGTGGGAATCCCATTTTAACCTCAAATAAACCCTTAACAACTGGAATATTTTGCACGAGAGATAAATAATGCTGCTAATCATCACAACTACTATTAAAACAACTTCCACTAGAAAATAGTCAAACCAAGACAAATCAGCTGCTGGACTCCTGAGATGTTTTGCCCCCTGATGCCTGAGAATGTACTCAGACCACCAAGCGACCTTTTCTAAACCAGTCATTGGCTTGTAGTACAAGAGGTCACGAATTTCCACGATCCGTTTACTATATCTAAAATTAAATGATCAAAGGAACTTACCTTAAGTGAAGTTCGATCATAATTATGCTAGGCATCTGGCTCGAAGATATCATAAGAGAAGACATGTTTGTAGTATCGCTTTCCGGTACTGCTGTGGCACTAGGTTTAAAGAGTGGAGAAACTCTGGTAGACTCCCCTCTCCCTCCACAATCGGTGCGGTATGGGTTCATTACTTTGAAGGGATTTGTAACAATCATAACTAGCCGGTAAATGTTGATAAGTACGACCATCACATTTAGGGTTTTGGGGCGGGTTATAATAATAATAATAATATATTTATTTATCCAGCAGACTAATATATAGTCCATAGTGGATACAACCACAGGAACAATATTAAATTTACAATAAACACATAAACAATATTAAATATACAATAAACACATAATGCTCACAACATTGGTACACTTACACATGATTCAATTCCAACAATTGTTTCCTTACATTAGCTTTACTAAAATTATGAAAAAATATATCTAGACGATCATCACAAACGGAATTATATAAGCGAAAAGCATATATCAATGGACAGTTATAATGATGAAAAGTATTGGGTATAGCAAAATAAAATAACTTTGGACATCGGCTAATTTGTCTTGGGATGTTGAATTTGATTTCATGGAGAAGCTCCTGACAACATATCTGACCTAAAGTGAGTTTTTGTAGAAAAATTAAACTAGCTGCATTTCTTCTTCTTATTAAAGGTTGTTCATTGACAATAGACAATAAGCTAGATTGATCACAATGTCTGCTTGGATACCTATTATACATTTTTAAAAATAAATACTTTGCAAATTTGCGCAAGACATTCTCTAACAAGTCAATATATTTTTGGTAATACGGCTTCCATACAATGCAACAATATTCCACTCTTGACCTTACTAAAGCATAAAAAAGTATTTTGATACATTGTATGTTAACAAAATCCATGGTGTTACGACGAATAAATCCTAGCTGTTGCATAGCAGTCTTGGTGACATGCAGGATGTGTGGGGCAAATGACAAACTACAGTCCATAACAACACCTAAATCAGATATCTGTTGACAATTCTCAAGTACATAACCATCTAAATTGTAATAATAGGAAATAGGTTCACGTGTACGAAAGAAGGTAATCTTTTTACATTTACTTTTGTTAATTTCAAACTTATTACTATTACACCAATGCAGTAACTTTTCTAAACTGGTTTGTAGCTCATAACAGTCCTCAGCCCTATTGACAACTTTTGCCAGTTTTAAGTCATCGGCGTATACAAATGCCCTACATCCCAAGTCTTTTACGACGTCGTTGTAAAATATAATAAAAAGAAGAGGACCTAAATTTGATCCTTGACCAACTCCACTGTTAACTTTATATATCGACGATCTAAATCCTTTACACAAAACTCGTTGTTGCCTATCAGTTAACCAAGATTTAAGAACAGATATTAAATTATCGCATAAACCAAAACTTTCCAACTTTTTTAATAAAATACAGTGATTAACTTTGTCAAATGCTTTAGATAAGTCGGTATATATAGCATCGACTTGTGATCTTTTATCTAAAGCATTTGAGACAAACTGCGTGAATTCGCATAAGTTAGTTGTAGTGGAGCGGCCCTTGACAAAACCATGTTGTTCAGTTATAATATCAGATTTCACATGGGCATAGATAGCATCTGTTAATATGCACTCAAACAATTTAGCAAAATTTGGGATGAGAGATATGGGCCTATAGTTCTTAATGTTCGACTTGTCACCCGACTTAAAAATTGGCACAACATTTGACGTTTTCCATACTGTTGGATACTGTGAAGATATTAATATCCGATTAAATATATGACAAAGTGGAGATAGAAAACAACTTATGCAATCCACAATCAAAAATGCCGGTATGTTATCAGCACCACAGACATTATTCGCTTTTATACCCTTTACAGCCTTAAGAATGTCGTTGTCACTTATAGAGAACCTATTTAAAATAACATTTTTTACACAGTCTACTCTAACATCAAAAGATGGACAACAATATTTAAAACAGTTATCACAGATATTTTCACAATTATCACGGCATATTACATCGCAGACATGGTTCTCGTTATCGCAGTTGTACATACTTTTAAAGTGACTAGCAAATGTGTTGACTATATCTTGTTGAGATGTCAAGGTATGATTCTCAAAGGTCATGAGACCAGGAACATTCGTGGCTTTCTTTTTTTCATTAACAAACGACCAAAATTTTTTCGGATGGCTTTGTAGAGAAGTTTCAGATTTTCTTATAAACTCATAATATGTGTACCTAATGTCTTTTCTGATTTCACAGCGTAACTTCTTCACTTTATCAAGATGATATACTGACTTGGTTTTTCTATAAATATCCCAATGTCTATTCTTTGTTTTGATTTTGTTGATAACAGATCTAGTATACCAAACAGGGTAATTTTCCCGCTGACCAAAGGACTTTGAAATTGGTACATATTGGGAGATGTTGGTAAAAATGATTTCATTGAATTTCTCACAGGCCAGAGTAGGATCAGCAGCATCTAAAACTGGCAACCAGTCAGTCCCAGCAAGTGATAGGTAGAGCCCTTCCAGATTACCTCTGTGAAAGTTAAATCTCAAGTCATCAGTCCCATGTACAAATGGTACACTATCCAGGTTCACTAATTCCAGTTGTATATTTAGAGCAGGATGATG